CTGGAAAACCAGCTACCATGTTCTCTAGACTCACAAAGAGAGTATGGCTTAATAAGAAGCTGACGGCATATAGCAAGATCCAGGTCTATAGAACCTGTGTCCTGAGTATACTCCTGTATTGCAGTGAGCCCTGGACCCTCTGTGCACCACAGGAGAGGAAGTTGAACATGTTCCATATGCATTGTTTTCAACGTATTTTTGGTATCACCTTACAGGACAAAGTTCCAAATAGAGTAGTTCTAGCTAGAATTTTTAGCATGTATACATTAGTGAAATAGTGACGTCTCTGTTGGCTTGGGCATGTCGTGAGAATGGCTGATGGTCGGATTCCAAAAGATCTGTACGGAGAATTAGTGCAGGGAAAGCGGCCCAGAGGTAGAACACAGCTGCGATACAAGGACATCTGCAAGCGGGATCTGAAGGCCTTAGGAATAGACCTCAACAGATGGGAAACTCTGACATCTGAGCGTTCAGCCTGGAGGCAGGTGTTGCATCACGGCCTCTCCCAATTTGAAGAGACCCTTGTCCAGCAGGCCGAGGCCAAGAGGCAGTCCCGAAACCAGCAAAATCAGGGAACTGGACAGGGGACAGATTGTATCTGTCTTCAGTGTGGAAGGGATTATCACTCTCGAATTCGCCTTCTCAGCCACACTAGACGCTGTTCCAAGTCCTCCATACAGAGCACATTACTATTGTCTCGCGAGACTGAACGATGCCTACAGAGGTTGTGATTAGTCTTTGTTTGTAAGTATAATTACCCAGGAACAAAGACCTGCCTGAATCAGGTGTCTGGAGCACTAGTGGATTTCAGCTTGTAATTATAGAATTATCTGTAATACATACTTTGGCCCGAAATAGCTCCTATCACTTGATTGGTGACAAATGGCCCTGATGATTGAAGGATTCTGTGCTTTCTTTTCTGCAGGGACAGAAAAAAAGACATCTATATGTTGTTCACAGATACCATCTACTCCTTTGGGAAGTATTCAAATGCTTAAAAACTAGCACTGTGTCCATTATATTGGGTGGTCCAGTTTCCACAGAGGACAGAAACAGATATTAAAGATCACGATTAAGGGGAAGTTCTTTAAGTGCTGAAAGCATCTGAATCCACAGTAGTGCTTTTCTTATGTCATGCAATTTGCAAAAAATCAGGGTTTTCTGGGGGTGGGTGGGATTGAGATGATTCTTCAGGACATAAGTACAGGCCTTATTTGAAGTCTGTTTTTTCAAAGAGGAAAGAGGGCCTCACTCATGCATGGTCTCTCCAACACTGACATGCCTGCAGGTCTAATCAGTGGCTATTTATAATGTTTCTGCCTTGATAAGCCTGAGGGGTGGGGTGAGATGATGTCTCCTCTCCCCCCCTTTTTTTTGCTGAGTTTTCTCACAGTATTCAAGGTCTCTCCAAGATCATGTCAAACTTCTCCCGATGAAAGACACACAGGATCACATGAATATTTAAAATTTTTTGGCATTCCTGTCTCTTGGTCACTCTGAACATCCTTCTCTGGAGGTCCTTCTTTCAAGTTAAGGCTGGCCACCTGCTATATCCTAGGCAACTGCACTGTTCTTCCAGACAGTGGTCCAGAACATATTTTTTTTCCATATAAACTTGTCTCTCTGTGACAGAATAGTATAAAAGAAAATCAGAAACAAATCAGATGTGTCTTTTATGATATGTCATTACTAATGGGATAAAGAATGGTTTCCCTGTGGGAGGACTGGTTCATTTTTGGAAAACTAAAAAAATCTTTGGGTGATAAGTCAAACCTTCCTTTCCTCACCATCTCCAGATTAAATGGCTGATACATAAAAGGTACAAAAGAACTGGGTTTTGTATGGGCAATCGTGTCTTTAAAACTAAATAGCTAAATAATAAAACAGTATGAATTTAATTGATTATATATCCCAGTGAGTATCAGAAAGAGGTTTCCTAAAAGGGTAGGATTCTGTTTATATTTTCTGGATTAAAATGTTTTGGAAATAAAAAAAGGATTTAAGAAGATTGTTCAGACTAAAGCCAGACACTCATATTGGGTGGTTGATAATACAATCCCACAACACATCTAGTCAGATCTTATCATGATGTTATTAATGCCTTGAGTTCAGTGGGGCTTACACCCAAGCAAGAGCATCACTCAAATTATTTACAGTTTATATCATCATTTTAGGAAAAGATAGATAGATAGATAGATAGATAGATAGATAGATAGATAGATAGATAGATAGATAGATAGATAGATAGATAGATAGATAGATAGATAGATAGATAGATAGATAGATAGATAGATAGATAGACAGACAGACAGACAGACAGACAGACAGACAGACAGATATCTTACAGATAACATTAAATACTGAAAGCATAAAGAGAACCCCTTCAAGGAATAGACTGAGAAAACTGAGTAGGAAATGCCCATTGAATACATTTAGACCCTTTTAATGAGTGGGAAACGAAGGATTGTAGTGGATTATCAACCACGGTAAACTGAAAACTTTTTATGAATCTCCAGAATCATTCTGAGAAGAAACATTGCAGATGCCTCTTCTCAAAAACAGCCTCATTATTAGAAGCTGAGCTTCCTTGAGTTATTTTCTTCTCCTCCCCAGAAGAGAAGCTGTAGGCAGTCTTGATTTTTAATTTTGAGTATGTCTTGATCAAAATTTGCCAATGCCATCCAAGGTGGGATGCAAAACTGCTGGCTGGCTTTCCTCATCCCCCAACTCTAAAAGAAGTCACTGTTGTTGTTGTTGTGGCTATGGAAGCAGGAAGTGAGATCCACGCTCTGAGTTCCACATCCTCCTTGCCCATTCCATGGTGTAATGATTGAGAGTCAGTTGTAAGATTCAACTTTGCACTTAATTTCTGGTTGTACAAACATCAAACCTGACATTTCATATTCTCTCTTTCTAAAACATCAGGTGGAATGCTAGTAAAACTAAATGCCAGCAATACTGGAGCATGCAATAATATTTCCTAATGCTAGAACAATGCATTGGAGACCTTGAGGTAAACACATGCTCTTGGCTTCCTGCTGAGCACTAATGGAACAGGATACACATGGCCTTACCTTCCCTTGATAGGGGATGCAGGGAGTCGCTCTGGCATCATAATGCTGTTTGAACGTGAGTTGCTCTTGGAAAAGTCTTGGGAGACTGCCCGGGGGTCGAGGAGATGCAAGGGGAACTGGGAACATAAACAAATTGTGTCAGAGTTGAAAAACCATCAAGGAAATCATGTTGATGATGAACACCATACAGCACAGGTGCATAACCCTTTTAAGACCCAAAGTTGACTTCCCACATCAGCTCGGGACAGTGCAAACATCTGCATGTGTGCAAACACATGCATTCCCCACATTTTGTCTTCCACCACCTCCGATTCCCATGACATGTCACATGCCAAGGAATTGTAATGTCATAAGCCAAGGGACCATGCCCCTTGCAGGGGAGATGATCAGCTGCACAACAGGGATGAGTGGGTGAGATTTAGCCAACTTCAGAGGTTGCTAGAGCACTGGTTCCCAACCTTAAGTCCCCAGACATTCTTGGATTGCAACTCCCAGACGTCTTCGCCATTAGCTGTGCTGGCCAGGATTTCTCAGAGTTGCAGTCCAAGAACATATGGAGACCCAAGGCTGGTAACCCACTGAGTGGCCCCAGAACTCCAGGTTATGCACCCCAAAACATATCTTAAGCTGGACTTGCAAATGAAATCACAGAAAAGAACAAAGCCACCAGAGCAATAGCCATGCCGGCGGTGAATCCTGTCCAGGGTTTGGTTCATTCTCAGTAGGAGCCATGGAAGTTGCAACGAACGCTGTCCCAAAAATAGTTTCAATACCTTTAAGGTTCAAAAAAAAAAAAAAAACCCAGCCAATATACTGTCCCAAATGAAACCACAGTCATCAACCTCCCTGGACTACTGTGAAGCCTATCGCTGAGCCCAGATCCTAATGGGGTGGATGGGAGGTGACATTTTCACCTCTACAGTTCCTGATGTTTTGATCTTGGAAGTTGTGGCTCCACTCCAGCACTGTTCACAGAAGCACTTCAGGAATGCTGGGGTTGCATCACTAGATCCCTTATCTAATTGAACACACTGGGTGAATTTGGTTAAATCTCAACCTCTCTGTGTCTCTCTCTCAGTCATCCTCATAAGATTGTTGTCAGGACTAAAATGGAGGAGGGGAAGACCTACGTAGCTGAGCTGTTAAAAAGAAGGCTATAATATCAGTGTCATATCGTAAGAATTCCCTCTGCTCTTAGCTTGGAAGGTGAGTACAATGTGATCTGTGATCTCTGCAGCAATGTTGGTGAGTAGTAGTTTAGACCACTGGTTCTTAACCTTGGGTTACTCAGGAGTTTCGGACTGCAACTCCCAGAAGCCTTCACCACCAGCTGTGCTGACTGAGGTTTCTGGGAGTTGCAGTTCAAAAGCATCCGAGTAACAAAGGTTAAGAACCACTGGTTTAGACTAGGAAAATGCAGCAAGAAAGGGTTGAGTACCGACTTCCCTACTAGCATCTGCCTGCACCTGTTAATTAACAATAAAATTGTAATTATAATACAGATGATTGTGACATATTTCCCACTTTAGTGGGCTTGCTGCAAAAGATGGAAAATGCAGTGGGAAAGGGCTGACTACCAACTTCCTACTAGTACTTTCCAATTTTCAAAGCATCTGTCTGCACCTGTTAATTAACAATAAAACTGTAATTATAATACAGATGATTGCGACATATCTCCCACTTTAGTGGGCTTGCTGCAAAAGATGAACCAATGGACTCCATCAGAATTACTGTGTGGGCTGATTCTCCCATCTGGTTTCGATGAGTGTTTAGTAAATTTGCCACCCATAGGCTCCAAAAGTGAAATGAGCTTGTTCCTGGATTCCTTCCAAGGGCAGGCCCATTTTCCTCAGAAGTTCTAAATGGTTTCCCGGCACATCTCTTTTGTCCGCAAAGCATGTCCAAAAACGGAAAGCCAAAACTCTGAAATGTTAAGAACTCATTCAATCTTCTTCTGTTTTCCTTTCGGTCCAGGTCATTCATGGCTGATGAATTATCCTAGAATTCAGAGTGCCATATAAGAGGGTTTAAAAGAAAGAAATTCTTCTGGTGTCACAAGTTCAGCGAGTCAACAGTATTTTCACCCAAGGACCAAGCATAGTCCTGCTTTCCATTCTTCTGTCCAATAAATGCCAACATATTTGGTTGAGCCATATAATGGCTCCTTGTTCTTAAAATCATTAACATTTAAGTGGTATTATATTTAAAGCGATCAAAATGTGTTAAACATGGCAACTACTGATATTTGCATGGAGATACTGACAAAACCAAAAGCAAGGGGGAAGCACAGTAACTGCCAAAATTTGGAAAATTTACTTTTTAGACTACAACTTGTCCAGTATTCTAATCTGGGGGATCTAGTCTGAACGTTAAACATGTCAACTATTGATATTTGCATGCAGATACTGCCAAAACCAAAATCAAGATAGAGGCACAGTAACTGCCAACATTTGGAAAAGTTACTTTTTAGACTACAACTCGTCCCAGTATTCTAATCTGGGGGATCTAGTCTGAAAAAGCAACCTTCCACGTTCCAGTGAATATACAGTATTCACAAATGAAAGAGGACTAAGGGGGCGTCTATACTGGCCCTTTTGGTGCAGGCTGATGCAGTCTAAATGGGTTTGAGGTTAAGGGGAGGAGCAATATGTCACATAGTGCATTCCTCATGTCCAAATGGCATATCAGCCTCAAACAAACCTTGGCTCCTGCTGTCTGTTGAAAATTTCCCCTCCTCCTCTGCAGAGGGACAGAAGACATGAAATTATTAATTTTGCCTGTGCAAGACCATCATTGGTGCACTGAATCCCTTAGGTAATTTTTATTTGTTTTTTGTTTTGTTTGTTTGTTTGCTTTTGTGTAATGCCGATCATCTGCATGCAGAGAGAACAGGAGATGCCAAGAATAAACATTGACATCCTGGGTGTCAGTGAACTAAAATGGACAGGAATGGGCGAATTCAATTCAGACGATTATCATATCTACTATTGTGGGCAAGAATCCCATAGGAGAAATGGAGTAAACCTCATATTCAACAAGAGAGTGGGAAAAGCTGTAATGGGATATAATCTCAAAAATGACAGAATGATTTCAATACAAATCCAAGGCAGACTTTTCAGCATCTCAGTAATCCAAGTTTATGCACCATCCACCGATGCTGAAGAGGCTGAAATTGACCAAATCTATGAAGATTTACAACACCTTCTAGAACTGACACCAAAGAAAGATGTTCTTGTCATTACAGGGGATTGGAATGCTAAAGTAGGGAGTCAAGAGAGAAAAGGAACAACAGGCAAGTTTGGCCTTGGAGTTCAAAACGAAGCAAGCAAAAGCTAGTAGAGGATTGTCAAGAGAACAAGTTGGTCAGCACAAACACTCTTTTCCAACAACACAAGAGGTGACTCTACACATGGACATCACCAGATGGGCAATACCGAAATCAGATTGATTATGTTCTCTGCAGCCAAAGATGAAGAAACTCTATACAATCATCAAAAACAAGACCTGGAGCTGATTGTGGCTCTGATCATCAGCTTCTTATAGCAAAATTCAAGCTTAAACTGAAGAAAGTAGGGAAAACCACTGGGCTAGTCGGGTATAATCGAAACCAAATCCCTTATGAATACACAGTGGAAGTGAAGAACAGATTTAAGGAACTCGATGTGGTGGACACAGTGCCTGAAGAACTTTGGATAGAGGCTCGTAACATTGTACAGGAGGCAGCAATAAAAACCATCCCAAAGAAAAGGAAAGGCAAGAAAGCAAAGTGGCTGTCCAATGAGGCCTTACAAATAGCAGAGAAGAGAAGGGAAACACAATGCAAGGGAGATAGGGAAAGTTACAGAAAATTGAATGCAGACTTCCAAAGAATAGCAAGGAGAGACAAGAGGGCCTTCTTAAATTAA